TTGGGCATTCATTGATCAAATATTTACTGACCACTGTTGTGCACTGACTCGATAGAGTTGAATAGGGCATTGCCTTCCAGAAGTTCACATTCTAATGGAGCAGCCATTATAATTACCTATCTATCTATCTATCTATCTATCTATCTCTACATCTATCTTTATTTATATTTATACCTATAGGTAGATATCTATGTGTCTATATCTATCTCTCTATCTATCTATATTTCTGTGTGTGTGTACACACACACACACACACACACACACACACACACACAAAGAAAGAAATACAGTATAATGTCTAAGCATTATACTGTAGGGGTGTGGAAGTTGTTTTGGGCCCAGTGAGGTGGGCTAATGCCCCCATCCAAGTTGGGATGGGCTGGAGTTCTAAGTATATTCTTTCTAGGCTGACAGTGGGGCAAAGAGCAATCCAGGTTGAAGAAATCATGCGGCTCGTAGTTTCTTGTTCCTTTGTGCTGCTCTCTGGTCTTCATGCCCACACCCTCTTCAGCGCCAGTCACTTAGTGAGTGCTAACTACGTGTTCCCTGAGTGCAGTAACTGAAGAGGAGTCTGACGTAAGAGCCCTACTGAGGTGTGAGAAGGCCGGGGCAGTGGCGTGGGGCAAGGTCATTGTCACGGGGCAGACAGTGTGGCAGCATTCTGTTCTTTCTCAGTCCTTTCCCTTACTGGCAGGGAAAGCCAGAACGCCAGACCCTTCTCCCTTTCAAGGAGCTGACCCATCAAATTTGCTGTGGTTCTCTCTCCACTTTTCACCCCTTCACTTCCTTTAACCCCTCATTTCCATACCTTCATCACCCACTTCTGTCTGTCTCCCTTTTGTGGCTGGCATCCTCACCCTGTTCCCCAGGCCACTATGCCAGAAATAGTCTTTATATAATTTGTCTGAAAGTTGTCTTGCCTTTTTCTCCCCTCCCCGCAATTCCTGTCGCCCTCCCCCTCTTTCTCTGCAAACTCACAAAGACTGATGCTATATTCATTTCCTAAGGCTGCCTTCGCAAAGCGTCCCAGACCTAGTGGCTTCAAACAGCAGAGATTTATTCTCACAGTTCTGGGGACCAGATGTCCAAAATCAAGATGTTGGCCAGACCACATTCTCTCAGAGGCTCTAGGTGAGGGTCCTTCCTTGCTTCTGGTGGTTTCCAGCAATCCTTGAAGTTCCTGGGTTTGTGGTAGCATCTCTTCAATTTCTGCCTCTGTCTTCACATGGCCCCTTCCCTGTATGAGTATCTGCATCCAAATCTCCCTTCCTTACAAGGACTCCAGCCACTGGATTAGGGCCTACCCCTAATCCAGTATGTCCTCATTTTCACTTGTTTACATCTGAAAAACCCTATTTACAAATAGTACTTTCCAGGTACTAGGGGTTAGGACTTTAACATAACATTTTTTGGAGGCACAATTCAATAGATAACAGATGCCCTAAAACTGAATATTGCTTGGCATTTATCAGTCTGCTCACAATCCCTGTGGAAAGCAGCTTTACAACATCTGGATAAGAACACATACTTTGGTGTGGATCTGAGTTTGAGTCCTGCCTCTGCCTCTTAGGATGTGACCTTGGACAACTGACTTGATTTCTCTGCACTTCGGTGTCCACATCTGTAAATGAGGAAAGTAGTCCTACCTACCCCATGGTTGCCACATATTAGGTACTTGGTACAGACCCAACACATAGGACATACTCCAGAAACAATAGGCCCTGGAGACTGTTCTCATTCCTCCTCCATTCGCACATGGTCATGTGGACTTAGAGCAGAGCTTGACACAAGACTTGCCAGTTCCAACTGAATGCTCCACGCACAGAGGCCTACCCATTGTTGGCACAGTAAGCCCTCTGGAGTATGAGATGTCAAGTCCACTCAAGATTTATCCATGAGACAAGTTGAGCTTTCCTTTCTCTGTGTCCCTCATTGTCCTTGTCTGGTCTGTGTGCCAAGCTTCAAGTGGGAAAGAGTAAATGTTAAAAAAACAAGCTTTTGGAAATGGGGTGGGGGCTGTGAGCTTAGGTCACCCCAGTGAGATGCTCTTTGCGTAAAGCTCCCCTTTCCCCTCCCTTTTTGTTTGTCCTGTAAGCAAGCAAATTCCCTAGCGGGTAGGGTAGAACTACCCTGCCTTGGCTTTCTGCTGATTTCATGCTCTTTGATGCTGGTGTGGCTCTGAAGGAGCTGCCGGTAAGGACAAACCACCATTTGTTTTGGGGGGGAAAAATGAAAAGAAAGAAAAAAAAAGTCAAGTCTTTTGTATCTGTGTCCCTCTAAATTGCCAAAGGTCTTATTGTGGAGAGAGGAAACAAGTAGGGTTTTATCTTTCTGTTCCTGCCAGGCAGCCACATGAGCATCAAAGCTGTCAGGGCCCTGGGGTGTGGGGTGTGGGGGTAATGTGAGTCTATACAAACCCAGTCTGGGCTCCACCAAGGAATGACAGATGCTCCCAGGGAGCTGGGCTCATTTGATGGTGGCTCTCTGGGCAGGAGGACGGAGGAGCTCCCAGTTGTAGCATGGAGAGGGGAGGCTCTAATGAGTGTGAAGTCAATTGATGAAACCACTCTGTGTATGGGGAACAAGGTGCTTTCCTCACATTGAAAATGCTGGCTGCCTATTGAAGAGGTAGGGTAATAATGCATGGCACAAAAATAGTAATAATCATAAACACCATCAATTTTTTCTGTGCAAATATAATGTGCCAGGACCTGTGATAAGTACTTTAAATGTGTAGTTTCACTTAGTCCTATCACAACCATATAACATAGTAATTGCTATCTATCCCCATTCTGTATTCCAGGAAACTGAGACATAAAGGGGTTAAATGACTTGCTTGAGGCCACACAGAGGCAGAATTTAAACCCAGGTCCATCTGACACCAAAGTTTGCTCTTAACCACTAGGCTCTATAGCTAAGACATTTTAAAGGATAAAAACAAACATGAGTAAGAAGTAGGAGAAATTAACCTTCGTTTACTGACTAATAAACACAGAGGAGGTAAGTGGTATGGGAGAGAAAGTAGGTCTAGAGTTTGAATTGGTACAGATTTTGTCTTATGTGTGACTCTGGGTAGGTTACCTTAGATATTATCAAGAACCCAGGAATTGACCTTCTTTCTACTCTTCCATGTTTGGAGTGGCAAATTTTTTTTTTTTTTTAACTTTTTTCTTTTTTTTTTTTTATTTAAAAAAATTTTTTTTCAATGTTTATTTATTTTTGGGACACAGAGAGACAGAATATGAATGGGGGAGGGGCAGAGAGAGAGGGAGACACAGAATCGGAAACAAGCTCCAGGCTCTGAGCCATCAGCCCAGAGCCTACGCGGGGCTCGAACTCACGGACCGCGAGATTGTGACCTGGCTGAAGTCGGACGCTCAACCGACTGCGCCACCCAGGCGCCCCTGGAGTGGCAAATTTTGTCTTTAGTCACAATAGCTGCTCTCATGAACACAAGATGGCTGCCATTGTTCCAGGCATCACATGTAGACTAAAACAAAACAAAACAAAACAAAACAAAAAAAGGTGTGCTTTTTCCCCAGTTTGGGAGTTGCATTATCCCCATATCTGCCCTCATTTTCATATGGCATCCATTTTATGTGCCTGTCTGTGTCTTTGTCCAAATTTCCCCTTTTTATAAGGGGACACGGTTATATTGGTTTAAGGCCCATTTTAATAACCTCATCTTAACTCAGTCATTTGCAAAGACCCTATTTTCTTTCTTTATTTTTGTTTTTCAGTAGGCTTTACACCCAATGCAGGACTTGAACTCATGACCTTGAGATCAAGACCTGAGCTGAGATCAAGAGTCAGACACTTAACATGATTGAGCTACCCAGGTGCCCTGTAAAGACCTTATTTTCAAATAAGGTCACATTCACACATCCTGGGGGTGAGGACTTTAACATTTTTTTGAAGGGGGGACATTATTCACCCTGTAACAACTGTTTCAAAGGAAAAACCAAAACACGGATTGATACAAGTAAAGGAATGTTGAGATGAATTGCAAATGGAGATGAAACTGTTCTGTCCAGTTTTAAGGACAGTTGGGGTGATAGTGGGCTGGTCAGTTAAATCACTACCAGACAGATAAAAATTATACATCTATCCATTACCTACAGCTTACAAAGCTTTACGAAATAATTCAAATACAATGAACAGAGCTAGAATCTCATAACCTGAAAGATTAGTCTGTAGAAGGGCGTGCATAGTTTTACACTAAACATTTAACATTTTCCTATACTATTGTTAGTCCATGTATTTTATTCTGTGGATGAAATGGTCTGAAAATCTGCTGTGCATTAAGTGGTCCTGACATCTCATGTGCATGATTTACTTTCTTGGCAAACTTACACCCATCTCCCTTTTCCAGGTCTGTTTCCTGTAACACTGAGTGGGAGATTTGACCACGTTTCCTTAGTGGGCCTTTGGGATGCTTGAGGCCAGCACTACCCTCTCTGGAGACGTATAGAGCATGTTACAGATGCTCTCTGTTCTTTGCTTCTTAGTCACCTCGTGGAGGCAGGAAAGCAGGGCCCTCGGTAGATGTGTCGCTGCAACTACATAAGCTGCAAGATAGGACACATGGGCCAATTTCTGCATCGTATTTACGATCTGCGGTCTTCACACCTCAGCCTCCAAAATGTATAAGGGCATAACTTGTTGCTGTTACTATCTCCGTCGGCTGGGCCTATTGAAATTCTTCCCCTAGCCACATGAGAGAAAAGAACACACAGAGACAGAAACACGTATTCAAAATGTCTGCACATTAAAAAATGAAACCCAAGCAAGAATTTCATAATAAAGTGTTTTTAAGGAATAACAGATACAGGGACTCAAAAAGGAAATCTCTTTCTCCTTAATAAGAATAATGTTAGGAAAAATGAATTCAGGAATTCTCTCTCTGGTGATTCATATTCTCAGACGTTTTTTGGCATTCTCACTACATAGTCCCCCCCCCCCTTTTTTTTTTTTTCTGTGTTTGGGTTTTTTTTTTTTTTAAGAAAGAGAAAATATTACTGGAGAAAACCATGCCAAGCCTGAGAATGTTGAGTACCCGAGGCCAAGCTCAACAAGGCCAGGGAACTTTCCGGTGAGAAATGATCCTATCTGTAACAAGGCCAGTCTCATGGGCTGTAGCTCACAACTGGCAGGAAGGCAGTGAAGTGTCCTTTGGTCTGTATGTCCCGCTTTTTGATTTATTCCCACTTATTTAACCTCTTACCAGTTTCCTAAGCTTCACTCTGCCCGAAAGTTTCACGAGCAGATGTCCTGCCCAAGTCAAAAGTCTCAATCTCGAATTGTTTCAGCACCCTCAGCCTCTTCAGGCAGAACCCGCACTGCAATGCCAAGGGGGCCCTCACCATGTTTCTTTCTTCTGTCTTGGTGAACTTGTCTCATATGTCTGGAGAGAAAACACAAAGGGGATAGGGCCACTTTCCACTCTGTCTGTAAATCCCAGGCCGGCTTCTCTCAGGTGGCTGCTGCTGCTTCTTCTTCTTCTTCTTCTTTTTCTTTTTTAAATATTTATTTATTTTGAGAGAGAGAGAGAGAGCAAGCAGGGGAGGGGCAAAGAGAGAGGGGAACCGAGGATCTGAAGCAGGCTCTGAGCTGACAGCAGAAAGCCCAACGTGGGGCTCAAACTCACAAACTCAGATCATGACCTGAGCCGAAGTCTGATACTTAACTGACTGAGCTACCCAGGTGCCCTCTTTTTTTTTTTTTTAAATATTGATTTATTTCTCTTGAAAGAGAGAGAACGCAAGCATGAGTGGGGGAGGGGGAGAGAGAGAGAGAGAGAGAGAGAGAGAATCCCAAGCAGGCTCTGTGCTATCAGTGCAGAGTCCAACTTGGGGCTTGATCTCACAAACTGTGAGATCACTGTGATCATGGACACACAGTTGGTTAAGGGCTTAACCAACTGAGCCACCCAGGTGCCCAGGCTTCTTAATTTCTTTTGAGACTTGGCAAGTGTGCTACTTTGCCTAGTTAACTCATCCCTTGGAACCCATGGCACTTGTATCTCTTAGGAGCTATACACTCTTTCTAGACTTTCCCAGTTCCCCTCACCTACCCCTTCTTCTCATATATCTTCAATTTACTAAGTGCTGACTCTATGACAGGCAATTCGCTAAGCACTTTGTTGCATTATTTTTATCCCACCTTCAAAGCAGCTCTGTGGGTTAGGTAAAATAATGACTCCAGGCTTACAGTTGAGAAAACAATGTAAGGGCAGTTAGAAAACCTGTGCATGATCACTGCTAAGTTAAAGAGTCAGGATTTGAACCCAGGCTTCACTGACTGAAAAGCCAGTATAATTGACTTCCCTGATCATGTGCCATAGGGCTGAAACTTCTTTTATGAGATTCTAGGAAAAGAACAGCCAAATCTGTATATTTTGTCACTTATGCAACTTCAAGGACACTTGAGTTGCTAGAAGTGATTTAGGGTGGAGGACTAGGGTTAGGAAAATTATGATGGGTTATTGACATTCTTATAATGTGATGCTTCCCTCTTTCTATTGGATTGTTTCCTTTCTGGGACTTCTCTCAAAGGCTGAGACTATCCTGGTGCCTTGTTAAACTCTCTGGAGGCAAAAGATTACATAATTTTCAGGGGGCCAGACTTTTAATGAATTCTAGCAGGGATGGCCTTGAGTTAAATTTAGAAAAATCTAAAGTTTTATATCTGGGATGCCATCTCCAATTTTTGTTATTCTTTTCCTCTTTAAAATAAACCCATTAACAAAAGTACTTTGAGCAAACGTTAATCAGGCCCTTGGACCTTCCTCTGGGCCCATCTTTGTGTGTCCTTATAAAATCTAGTTTTAGTGAGAACCTTGATAAGTCAGTTTAACTAGAGCCACTCACTCTTGATATCTGATCACCTTCGCTATCTGATCAGGTTCTTCATCCCCCAGGTGATGTCTGATCATCCTGGCCTGTTGTCAGCAAGAATCCCATTAGGTGGGTTTAGCCAGAACCCCTCTTATACCTTAGTAAGTTTTCATCCACTACCCCCCACTCTCTCCTTGGCTTTAAATTCCCACTTGTCCATGCTCTACTTGGAGTCAAGCCCAGTCTCTCTTCCCCACTGTAGAATCCCATTGTGGTATTCCCTGTATCTATCATTATGGTCCTGAATAAAGTCTGCCTTCCCTTCTTTAACAAGCCTCATTGAGTATTTTTTTCTTTAACAGTTATGGTGCTGTGACTCAGATCGGATCAGATTCATCATCTGGGCCCCTGGGTGATCTTAAGGCCACTTAGGACCTTAAGAATGCAAAGTTGAAGTCTTTATCTTCCCTTCTGCCTGATAGGTTGGGGATCCTATGGAGAGTCTGACTCTGGAACTGGTGCTACAGACAGACGTTGTTAAAGCTGGTAAGGACAGATTTTGACTTGTAAGATTCTGAGTATACTCTACAAGCTGATTTAGAGTCCCAGACAAACAGATGCTGGGGTATAGTCCTACATTTCTCTATTTGTAAGAAGATGAGTTGGAGTCCCAGGCTTCCTTGAAAGGTACCTGCTGAGCTGGAAGTCTCTTCTTTCTGGATCTCTTTCCTGAGAGGGGATTATTTCCTACCTCTCTGGGCTGGAAGTCTTTCTTCTTGGCTCTCTGTGAGGCCTCTCTGTTGTCCTCATTGGATTCTGCTTCTCCCATGGGAACGTCTCAGTTGACTGAAACCCCCTTCTTGTACCTCTATTAATTATGAGCTCTGCCAACTCATCTGCTTCTTTTCTTGTTAGCATGATTTTGCTGAGGACAATGTAGAGCTCCACTGGCCTCTTTGGAAAACCTGAGATCTCCCCAGACTGGTTCCTCTAAGGCCTCTCCTTCTCCATTGTGTCTCTCCTCCTTCCTCCTCTTACCATCTTCTGGAGAGAAAACACTGAATCCTTGAATCCTTTTATATGTTCCCCCTCACACCCCTTCTTCCTTTATTCCTCTGTCCAACCTTGCCAGACTTCTCCCTTCTCACCTTATCCTCTCAACTCCCTACAGCCACTTGAATTTTAGGCCACCTATCCTCCCTCGGGGGCTCTCAGGAGACTCTGGGACCTCTAAAAGCAACCACCTGAGACTGAAAAGAGAAAAAAAAAAAAGCTGAAACCAGAGATAGCTGTTTTGTCCACTCATATGTACACTGGAGATATCCAGACAGCTGCTAGATGTCTCTGTAGTCACCAGCCTAAAGTTTAGTTTACATTCAGAGCAAAAGAAAATGTTAAGTCTTCTCCACAAATATTGACATACAGGTAACCTTAACTTGTCCATTTGCTGGAAATACAATACAGATAAAAACATAAAGTGGAGATAAACCAGTGAGTTTGTATTACTATGTTTTATTAACTTTAAGACTAAAATTTAGAATGAAAGCTAAAAAAAAATCTCTATTTGAATATATGTTTATGTACGTGTGTATGTATGTCTGTATGTTATTTACAAGTGATATTTTTCCATCTCCAGCTGGTATTACTAAATTAATTTATAAAATCCCCCAGATGAGTTCTACTCAAATTGGTTTAGAGGCAAGTGGGTACTTACATAAATTAATTGTCTTAAAACTCTCAGATATGGAGAAACTAACCAGTGTGTGTGTGTGTGTGTGTGTGTGTGTGTGTGTGTGTGTGTGTTTATGTGTTTTAGGTTCACATGATCAGGGATATTCTTTGGTAAATAAAGCTACTTAAAAAATGGTTGGTAAAATTAAATAGGTGTGCCCTCAGAATTCTGAAGATTAATTATAATGTGGATATACAATTTTTCCTAACTAGATTTACCAGTCAAACAAGCTTATATTATCTCTACTATATGTTTAAAATTATAAAACTATAAATTTACCCTAAGAATAAAATGTACAATAAAAATAAATTGCTTGATGAATGTCAACATGGCAGTAAAAAAAAAAAAAAAAAAAAAAAAAAAGGAAAAAAGGGGGGAGGAACCAAATGTTTAACTTTTAGATTCTTTGCTTCTGTGATTTGTTTGAAAGTTGCCTGATTTTCCAACAGGAAAAATAACTTACAATGATGGCTAGCTTTGTTTAATGTCTCATGAAATTTTCATGAGCAACTCAAGCATAATTATAAGAACAGGTGAATTAAAACGATGTAAATGGGATACAAGTTTATTAATGAACTCTTCAATAATAATTATGCTTTATAATATGTCTACTTAAAAATAGATGCAAAAATCTAAGATGTTATATATGAACCTAATGGTAACCATAAATCAAAAACCACTAGTAGATATGCAAATTATAAAGAGAAAGGAATCCAAGTATATCACTAAAAACACCCCAGCAAACCATGAAAGAGAGCAAGGGAAGAAAGGATCAGAGAAAAACTACAAAAACAGCCACAAAACAAGTAACAAATGATGATAAATTCATGTCTATCAATACTTAATTTGAATGTAAATAGACTAAACACTCAATCAAAAGACATAGGCAGACAGAGTAGATAAAAAAAAAAAAAAACAAGATCCATTTATAGGTCACCTATAAGATACTCATTTTAGAAATAAAGACACCTGCAAATTGAAACTGAGGGGATGGAGAACATTTATCATGCAAATGGATGTCAAAAGAAAGCCAGAGTATCAATATTTATATTGAACAAGATAGACTGTAAAACAAAGACTGTAGAAAGAGACAAAGAAGGACACTGTATAATAATAAAGGGGAGAATCCAAGAAGATATAACAATTATAAATATTTATGCACCCAACATGAAAACACCCAAGTACATAAAAAAGTTAATAACAAACATAAAGAAATTAATTGATAGTAATAAAATAATCATAGGAAACTTTAACACCCCACTTACGTTGATGGACAAATCACCCTAACAAAATTAATAAGAGGGGTGCCTGGGTGCCTCAGTCAGTTAAACGTCCAATTTCTGCTCAGGTCATGATCTCACGGTTCCTGAGTTCAAACCCTGCGTTGGGCCCTGTGCTGACAGTTCAGAGCTTGTTTCAGATTCTGAGTCTCCCTCTCTCTCTGCCCCTCCCCCACTTGTGCTCTGTCTCTCTCTCTCAAAAATAAATATTTTAAAAAATTAAAGAAAATCAACAAGAAAACAATGTCTTTGAATGACACACTGAACCAGATAGATTTAACAAATATATTCAGAGCATTGTAACCTAAAACAGCAAACTGCATATTCTTTTCAAGTGCACATGAAACATTGACCAGAATAGATCACATATTAGGCCATAAAACAAGCCTCAACAAATTCAAAAAGATCAAAGTCGTGGCATGCATCTTTTCTGCCCACAATGCTGTGAAACTAGAAATCAACCACAAGGAAAAATCTGGAAAGACTACAAATACATGGAGATTAAATGACATGCTACTAAAAAATGAATGGGTCACCAAGAAATCAAAGAAGAAATAAAAAAGTACATGGAAATAAATGAAAATGAAAATGCAGTGGTCCAGAACCTTTAGGATGCAACAAAAGCTGTTCTATGAGGGAAGTTTATAGCAACACAGACATACCTTAAGAAGCCAGAAAAATCTCAAATAAACCTTACACCTAAAGGAGCTAGAAAAAGAAAAACAAACAAAACCCCAAACCAACAGAAAGAAGGAAATAATTAGAGCAGAAATAAAGATTAGAGCAGAAATAAATGCTATAGAAACTAAAAAATCAGTAGAACCGATCAATGAAACCAGGAGCTGCTTCTTGAAAAGATCAAAAAAGTTGATAAACCTCTAGCCAGACTCATCACAGAGAGAGAGAAAGAGAGAGAGAGAGAGAGAGAGAGAGAGAGAGAGAGAGAGAGAGGATTCAAACAAAATCACAAATGAAAGAGGAAAAATAGCAACCAACACCACAGAAATACAAACAATTGTAAGAGAATATTATGAAAAACTATATGCCAACAAATTAGACAACCTAGACAAGATAGATACATTCCTAGTAAAATATAACCTACCAAAACTGAAGCAAGAAGTAGAAAATCTGAGCAGACCAATTACTAGGAGAGATTGAATCAGTAATAAAAAAATTCCCAACAGACAAAAGTCCAGGACTAGACAGCTTCATGGGTGAATTCTACCAAATATTTAAAGAAGAGTTAATACCTACTCTTCTCAAACTATTTCAAAAAATAGAAGAAAGAAATTTCCAAATTCATTCTATGAGGCCAATATCACCCTGATACCAAAACCAGATAAAGACATCACACACACACACAAAAAGAGAACTACAGGACAATATCTCTGATGAACATAAATGCAGAAATCATCAACAAAATACTAGCAAACTGAATCCAACAATACATTAAAAAAATCATTTACCACACTCAAGTGGGATTTATTCCTGGGTTGCAAGGGTGGCTCATTATTTGCAAATCAATCGAGGTGACACATCACATTAATAGAATAAAGGATAAAAACTGTATTATCATTTCAGTAGGTGCTGAAAAATTATTTGACAAAGTACAGCATCCATGTATGATAAAAACCTTCAACAAAGTAGGTTCAGAGGGAACATACCTCAACATAATAAAGGCCCTGCATGAAAAACCCACATTTAACATCATCTTCAATGGTGAGAAACTGAAAGCTTTTCCCCTAAGATCAGGAACAAGACAAAGATGTCCTCTCTTACTACTTTTACTCAACATAGTACTGGAAGTCCTAGCCACAGCAATTAGACAACTAAAAGAAATAAAAGGCATCCAAATTGGTAAGAAAGAAGTAGTAGTTTAGCTATTTGCAGATGACATGATACTATATATAGAAAACCTGAAAGACTCCAACAAACTACTAGAATGGATAAATGAATAAAGTTGCAGAATACAAAATCAATGTGCAGAAGTCTGTTGCATTTCTATACACTAAACATGAAGCATCAGAAAGATAAATTAAGAAAACAATCCCATTTATCATTGCACCAAAAATAATAAGACATCCTAACCAAAGAGGTGGAAGACCTGTACACTCAAAACTCTAAAACACTGATGAGAGAAGTTGAACATGGCAAAGAAATGGAAAGACCTTCCATGCTCATGGATTGGGAGAACAAATATTGGTAGAATGTCTATACTACCCAAAACAATCTACAGATCTAATTCAATCCCTACCAAAATACCAACAGCATTTTTCACAGAATTAGAACAAACAATCCTAAAATTGTATGGACCCACAAAAGACCCCAAATAGCCAAAGCAATCTTGAAAAAGAATAAAACTGGAGGTATCACAGTCTGAGACTTCAAGTTATATTGCAAAGCTATAGTATTCAAAACAGTATGGTACTGACACAAACACAGACACATAGATCAATGGAATAGAAAACTCAGAAATAAACCCACAATTATGTGGTCAGTTAATCTTTGACAAAGCAGAAAACAATATCCAATAG